AGCAAGGCCCCAGACACCCCAAAAATCCCCGGGGCAGCTGCTGTTGGAGGCCAATCCCGGGGCAGGTTGGCCGAGAAGGATGATCCGGACAGGGGGAGATGCCGCTCGTGGTGGTGCTCGTGGAGCACCCGGGGTGGGCAGCCGGTCCTGGGGGGACACCGAGGCTCTCCAGGGACCCCCAGCCACGCCTTGGGGCCCCTCCACGATCCGGGAATGGTGGTGGGGGGGGTCCCAGCAAGCGGCGGGCGAGGCGCCGGGAGCGGGATGGGCATGGAGACGACGATGGAACAGACGGACAGGGCTGTGGATGGAGACTGCGGCCCAACGGCTGCTTCTTCTTGGCTTCTGGGTTCGTCGTTAAAAAGGCCGAGGGGAGCCGGGGGGAAGGGGTTGGAGAGGGTGGGGGGAGCCGGGGCTGGCCCTGCCCCGGCCCCTGTGCGTGTGTGTCACCCCCGCCGGGCCGGAGCGCCCTGGAGTCTCTGAGCGAGCGGGGCGGGCGCGGGGGGCGTCGCCCCAAAAACCCGGCTGCCTGCCCCGAAATGCGAGGCCGTGGCTCGTGTCCGTGTCCCTCCGTGCCGAGGGGCGGGGGGGGGGGCCCCCACGGTGTGTCCCTCCGCCGGCGCTGGCAGAGGGGAGGAGGGCGGCTCTGCCCGCGCGGGGGCTTTGGTAGCTCAGGCTGTACATCCAGGCGGTCGGTCAGCAGGTGAAGTCCTCGAAGGTGCCCCGGGCCGGGTGGTGAGGTAGGATGTTGGCTGCGTACGTCATCCCTGCCGGGTGCCCCCGTATGCTTTCACAGGGGTTCTGTGGGTTGAACAGGACGCTGGGGCCACTGTCTTCACCCAAATCCCCACGCAGACCGAGTCCCAGCTCCCCGCATCACCCCTGGTCCCTCTGCTCCTTTCCCAAGTGCTCCTCGAGCTGGCACCTCTCAGCCCCAAAACCGTGACCCCCCCACCCAGGGGCACCTCCCGGACAGCCCCCTAACCACAGGCGGGCCCAGCAGCCCCCGTGGTGTCCCCCAACACTCACGTGGCGCTTCACGTCGTCCATGCTCAGCGCGACGCCCTTGTCCGTGTTGTTCCTCTTGTGGTTCTTGCGGCACTTGCCCCTCCGGCACAGCCGGTGCTTGATCACCTGCCGGGGACCACATTTCAGTGCCCTGAGGCTCGAGGGGGGCCCTTTCCCCATGTCCCACACGGTGCCCCGGGGCGATCCGGGCCCCTCGGCGGGGCGGGGTGCGGGGGAGACGCTCACCTCGTAGGCGTAGTCGAACAGCTCCAGCACTGTGAGGATGCTGGCCCCGATGAACAGCCCCATCTGCCCCCCAATGTCACCTGTGGGGGAGAGGGAAGCCATCAGGGTGGCTCCTGGCAGCAGAGGGAGTGGGGAAAGGGCAGAACTCGCCGCGGTGCCCGGCCCTGGCAGCGGCTTCGCACCCACACCATCGGCACACCCCAGTGCCTCGGGGACAGGGGCCGTGGTGAGGGGACCAATTTGAGGCCACATCAGCCCCCATCACTCACCCAGCAAACCCGCCACCTCGTAGGCCTTCTTCTGCTCGATCGTCTCGTAGTTCAGGGCTTCGAAGAAGATGTCCAGCACCAGGATGTTCTCCCTGTGCAGGACACAAGTGGCACCGGGCTGAGGCTCGGGGGTGGAGGCAACGGATGCCACCCCTCTGCCACGGCCACGGCGTGTTACCCGATGTACTGCTCCGACTTGTTGTACTTCTTGGCCAGGTACTTGGCCGAGGCCTTGCTGGGGATCTTGACCATGGAGAGCTCTTTGCCGTAGCGGGTCATGTTGCAGGGCATCTCACAGATGCAGTACTCGTTGTCCTTCTCCACCAGGAAATCTGGGCGGGGAGAGAGGGCCGTGGAGAGCTGGGGACGCCCAACACCCCCCCCCCCCCAGCTCCGTGCCCGTGGGGGCCGGGCAGCCTCACCTAGGGCGGGGTCCGCGCACTCCTTGTACTGCTCTGGGGTGCAATAAGGGGCGTCGCCTGCGGGGACACAGAGCGGGTTTTCCAGGCTGGGGGAACCCCCAGCGGGCTGAGAAGGTAGTAATGGCCCTGGCCAGGGGCTCACCTGGCATGTGGACCATGCGGCAGTTGCAGTTCTCCACCAGGTACCGCGTCTCGCAGTCGATCCGACACGCCGTGATGCTGTAGGTGTCGTAGAACTCCAGGTCGCCCGCCACGGCCTTGCAGTCGCCCCAGGGAGGGGGAAGGTAGATGAGCTGGTGGTGGGGCAGAAGCCAGGAGTGAGGAGAGAGAAGCCCCCCCAGACCTCCAGTGTGGTGAGGGGACGGACCCTCGTGGCGTCGGACCCCAGGGCTGGGTCCCCTCTCAGCCCAGCAGGGGACACGGGGAGGAGGCTCCGCCTCGGGAGGGAGAACCCCAGACCCCCCCAGGCCCTACCCGCTGCTCCTGGCAGGACACGAAGGTCTGGAAGCCGGGGGCCACCCCGAAGCCCAGCTGGTCGATCAGGGGGGGCTCGTCCTGGCTGTGGATCTGCACCTTGATCCCGGCTTCGAACGAGGTCTCGTCTGCGGCAGAGAGAGGGCAGGATGAGCTGGGCACCAAAACTTCTGCCTCCCCCCCTCCCCCTGGGCCAGTTCATTCCCCCACGTGTCCATCCATCTGTCCACCTGTTTGCTGCACCACGTCCTTGCCCCCTCCGCCCCTGACCCTCCTGCTCCTCTCCTGGAGTGTGGCAGGGAGGTGTTTGCCTCTATTTATAAACAAGGGATGGCTGAGTGTCTAAACCATGGGGAGTTGCCATGGCGAAGAGCAAAGACAAGGAGGGAAAGGGAGAGGGAGAGAAAGGACCTGTGGTGATGAGAAATGGAAGGAGGGAAGAGGAGGGAGCCTCAGGGAGGTGGACCTGTGGGCTGGGGAGCACCCCAGGTGACCTGCTGGGGCTGTGGGTTACCTGTTTCCCCCCACACTGGCAGATACTCGTCCTGCTGAATGTCCAGCATGATCTCCAGGCCGTTGCCAGTGCCCCCCTTCATGGTGATGAGCCGGGGCTTCCCGTCCTGCCCCGCGTTGAAGGTGTAGCACTTCCCATAGCGGGTGAAGACCTGCGGGACAGGACACGGGGCTGAGGCCGAGGCCCCTCTGTGGAGCCACAGCACGGAGCCAGGAGGGTGTCACCAGCCCCAGGACACAGCCATGCCCAGCCTGGGCACAGTCCAGCCTGGGCACAGTCCAGCCCAGGCTCCTGACCCACCGGACCTCTCGGTGTTGGAGCTGCTTGTCTTGGCCCAGGTGGAGGAGGAGACGTTCCAGCCAGGCTCAGGGATGGACTCGGAGGGGACACAGCAGATCTGCAGCGCCTCAGCCCCACAGAGCCCAGGGCAGCCCCAGCACCCCGAGGTGGGACACTCAGCCCTCCACCTGCGCCGGCGCCTCCTCCAAACCCTCCTCCATCCCTGCAGGGGACAAGGCTGGATGGGATTCCAGAGCCCCCCATCCTTCCTCGGCCCTTCCAGCTCTCACCTCAGCTGCAGCGAGGGGCACACGAGGTTAGCGGGCTCAGACCACTCGGTGCCCCACGGGCAGTGATGCCACCAGGACAGGGGTGCCCCCGGGGCCGCTCTCCGTGTCCTGAGCCATCCCAGCTCCAGGGCTGAAATATCAGCTCCAAGGGCAGCATCCCCCTCCGTGCCTGGTCCCAGCCTGGTCCCACATGGTGCCTGCCGGGGCCGCCCCGGGGCTACTCACCGGCGCGAAGTCAGCGGGGCCGCAGCGCCGGCCGCGGTAGCGGCAGCTGAGCAGCATGTCCTCCAGCTGGTGGCAAGTGCGGTTAAAAAACCCCAACAGATTGAGGGGCTCGTCCTCCTCCTCCTCCTCCCCCCCCCACTCCTCCCAGGGGCCGGACCGGGCCGGGGTGAAGCCCAGCTCCCTGCCGGGCTCGTAGTCGACCAGCGGGGCCAGGTAGAGCAGGTCCTGGCGGCTGAGCTGCGAGACCCGCACGCGGTTGATGTTGCAGAAGGTGACGGCGGGGAAGGTCATCTCGGGGCTCTCCTCCTCGCTGAGCAGCGTGACGTGGTGGTACTCCAGGTAGTAGGCGATGCGGTCGGCCACCTGGTAGAGGAAGGCGGAGAGGGAGAGCAGGAAGGCCAGAGCCCAGAGAGCCTGCCGGGCGCCCAGGCTGCCCTCCACGAAGATGTGGCTCAGCCCGTGCAAGGTGCAGCTGCTGGCAAAGGCCACCAAGCCCGTGGCTGCCCTCGCCCCCTCCTCTGCCTCCTCCTCCTCCTCCTCCTCCTCCTCTTCGTCCTCCTCCTGCCCGTACAGGAACTCGTCTGCTCCGTCTTCCCCCTCCCCGGGTGCTGTGGTGTCTTCTGGCCCTTCCTCGCTGGAGAAGGAGATGGTGCAGAATATCTGGAGAGGCATTGTCCGCTCTGGGGGGCCCTGATGCAGCCTCTCAGGGTCCTGGCCCCTGTCCAGCCACGGCCTGGGGGTCTTCAGAGTTCGGGCAGTTCCTCGGGGTGTGGGTGAGAGGGGCAGGGAAGGAGGGAGAACAAAGGGGGCAAGTTCAGGGAGGAGAAATGGAGAAGGGAAAAGCAGTGAGAGGCGAGCGGGAGTGAGGGAGAGGAGCAGAGGGATGCTCAGAGGGGACGGAGAGAGGAGGGTATAAGAGGAGCAGGAGCAGGGGAGGAGGAGCGAGGGGCGGTTCTGCGGGCTCCCCACGTCCCCCGGGACCGGCCGCCTGCGGCTGCCAGGACGGAGCAGCGGCACCACCGGCCCCAGGAGCACCTTGGGAGCTCCTGGTGCTGCCTGAAGGGTGTCAGGCCCGGGGAACACGGGGGGGTGGGCAGGTCCCCACTGTGCTGTGTCCCCACGCCGTGTCCTCCACCCTCCCTGCGTGGCTCGGCCCTGGCAGCTCGAGTGGCAGCTCCAGCCAGTCCTCCCCGCTGGCTCCCAGGCTGTCTCTGGAGCTGCCATATGCCGGGCTCTGGGAGCTCCTCCTCAGGGCAGCAGGAGCCAGAGGTTTTCCCGAAATGCCTGTGACATTGTGCTGCTGCAGAGCCCGCCTCGGTGGTGCCCGGAGGGCAGAAGGATGGAGGGGTCCCCAAGGGTGCTCGTCCTGCCCGGGCAGGGCCTGTCCCTGTGGGCTCATCTTCCTCCTGTGCCGGGAACATCCAGCAAATCCGACATTCCAAGCGGTGTCAGGGCCGTCCTCCTCCAAGCAGGGATGGTTTTGGCAGTGTTTGGGTGCTGTTCCAGCCGTGACTCCTCCTGCAGAGCCCAACCAGGGCCGGGTTGTGCTTCGGATCCCAGCTGGGCATGGGGAGCCACCGCTTCCCTCGGGGAATGGCATCCAGGCCTTGTGCTTCTCCACCAGCTGGGCTGGGAATCCTGGAGAGCATCCCTGGTGCAGGGTGCTGGGATGGAGGCAGTGGCCAGGATGGGGGTCCTGAGGAGCACCCCTGGTGCAGGGTGCTGGGATGGAGCCGCTATCCGGGCTGGCTGCTGGGAGCTCCGGTGTCTCCTCCCTGCAGCAGCGCAGCCCCTGCTCGTGGTTTGCTGTTCTCCTGCACTCAGCACTCCGTAAAAGCATCCAGAGACCACAGAACCACCTCCAGCCCCAGCCTGGCCCTGCAGCCGCCAGCGCCGGCCCAGGGGGAAGGGGAGCATCGAAATCCAGCAGCGCTGGGAGGTGCAGGGGCTGCACAGGAGGTTCTGGTGGGATAAACTCACCCCAAACCCCCAGTTTGGCTGCTGCACCTCCTTCCCTGCACACACCACGAGGTCTCAGGCCCTGAGCACATCCCAGCGCAGGTGGACACAACAAACTGGGTGAACAAATCAGTCAGGAGCTGGGCACAGCTCTGGTCTGGTACCAGCACAGTTATCTGCCATTCCTGAGCTGGTGACGGTGGTAGAATGGGCAGGACACACATGGGGACCCTGCCAGGGGTGACTGAGGGTGTGACAGCCCCTTCCTGGGGCTCCCTAAGCCCCATATTCCCAATAGGGCCCTTCTGTAGGAGGGATGCTGCCAGATCCCACAAAGCTGGGGGACCTGGGAGGAAGGGTTGGGTGACCTTGGGGACGAGCGCCAGAGCCACAGGATGAAATTTCATCGAGCTGAGAGCAAGGTCAGCCCTTCTGGGAGCAACTCTGAGAGTCTGAGCTGGAAACTCCTCCCGGGAAAGGGGGCCAGGGAGGAGGATTGGGTGGCTGGGAGCCACCAGGACATGGGGGCCAGGTCACAACCCTTGGGTGGGGATGAGCTGCAGCTGCCCCAAGGGCAGGGCTGGGCTCTGAGGGCATCAGGGATTCTCCTGGGGTGGGGAATGGGATCCCTGGGCTGGCTCAGCCCTGCAGGAGCGAGCTGGGCTGATCCCACACCGAGCAGAGCAGGAGGATGCTCTTGGCAGGGAGGAGCAGGTGGAAGCTGGGGTGGGGTTTCTGGAGCTCCCCAGCTCTGGGACAGAGTTTCTCTGCCACGGCTGCAGGAGGGGGAGGAGAAGGGAGATGGAATCGCAGGCTGAGGGGGTTTGTTTCAGCCCTCTCAGGGCACGGACTGGCCAGTGCTGCTGTCCAGCCCCTGCTGGTGTGAGCGAGGGGCTGATCCCACCCCTTGGCACCAGGAGGTTTAATGTGTCTTCTTGGGAGCGATTGCAGCAGGGAGAGAGAGGGAGAGAGGGAGAGAGAGATATGCTGTAATGAAAACGTTCCATCATCGACTGGGGCCATTAACCTGCCTCGCTCTGCTTAAACAGCTCACGGGGAGCGCCGGGGCGGGGGGGACGGGACGAGCTGGGCCCGGCTCTGGTTACACCACCTGTCCCATCCCCGACACCCGAGAGGGATGAAGGTGACCGGCGACACTCCCAGCCGGCACCGGCGCCAAGGGGAGCGCGTCCTGACCCCGCAGCCGGGGACAAAGCGCGGCCGTGTCCCCACGCCGCAGGCAAGGGGGGTGCCGTCCCGGTTTGTGCGAGTTTGGGAGATATCTGGAGGAGTCTTTGGGCTCGTTCCAGCTCCTCCCTCGCCGGGAGTTATTTTTACCCTCTCTCAGGTAAAGCTTTGGCGGGGGCGAGGGACGGGGGATGTTATAATTAGCCGTGACATCAGCCCCCGTGGCGGCTCGCGCGGGGACGGGGCCGCCACGCCCGACCCTCCGCCGGGCCCCGGGGATGCTCCTCCTGCCGCAGAGAGGGGGGAGAGGGATTGGGGAGAGGGATTGGGGAGAGGGATGGGTTTTTCCCGGCTCCAGCGCAGCGTTTGGCCGCTGCCCCGGGGCGGTCCGGCCCCGCTCCCTGCTCCGCATCCCCTCCCGGGCCCGGGAAAGGAGGTTCCCCGGAGCGGGGGAGCAGCACGGAGGCGGCGGAGGAGGAGGGGGGGGGATGATGAGCGGGAGGGGGATTTGACGGCAGCAACAGCACATTTCACAGCCTGTCACGCTTTAATGGCAGAGGAGATCAAAGCCGGGATGGAGTTATTCATAGAGATAAACCAATCCCCGAGGAGGCGAGGAGAAAACAACATTGCGCGCTCTGTTATCCCGGGTCTGCGAGCCCCGGGGGAGCTGAGCCCGCTCTGCTCCGTGACGGGCACTGCCCGGCCCTGCCAAAGAGCGCCCGAGCTGCCCGCCACGGCCCTGCGGGTGCCCGGGGGTCGGGCTGGCTGGTGGGCAGGGATGAGACGTCCCGGAGCAGCGGGTGGGGGATGGATATTTGGGGCAGAGGGGCCCCCCTAAGCCAGGCTGTCCCCGCTCCCACCACACAGCCGGGCGCGCGGATGGAAAGGGACAAAGAGCGTGGTTTTCCCACGTGCTCTGGCCCGTGGATGTGCTCTGCAGCTCCCGGAGCCGCCAAGATGGTGGTGGAGGCACCTGCGGCGATGCCACCGCCGCTCCGGGCGGGATGAGCCGCCTCTGGGAAGGCTCCCGGGATGCACATCCCGCCCGTACCCTGGCGAGGGGCAGGGCAGGGGCAGCCGAGCGAGGTGGGATTGCCCGGGATCCCTGCCGGGACTAATCCCGCTCCCCTTATCAGATGCTGCCACCTTGCCTGCGCTCGCTCCGCCGGCCAAGCCGGGCGCAGCTTGTGTTATCCAGCCCTTTATCCCCCCAGATTAGACGCTTCACAGTGGATTAGCATGTCACATTCTAATGCAGAAAAATTGACGATTAAAAAGGAGTTTTTCCTCTGTATTATTCCCCACCTCCGCCTCCTCTCCACCCCGTCCCTGCGGGCCCGCCGGCCCCGGCCGTGGGGACTGCTGATGCCGCGGCGCTGCGGGATGAGGGAGCTGCGTCCCTGGATCAAGGAGGGGGTGGGAAACAGGAAACACAAGGTGTCTTTTTGGGCCGGCACGGAGCGCTTCCCGGCTGCTTTTGGTGGCGGGGGCAGGTGCTTCAAGGCCCCTGTGCCATCCTGCTCCAAGGTCCCTGTGCCATCCTGTCCCTGTGCCATCCTGCTCCAGGTTCCTGTGTCACCCTGCTCCAGGCCCCTGTGCCATCCTGTCCCTGTGCCATCCTGCTCCAGGTTCCTGTGTCACCCTGCTCCAGGCCCCTGTGCCATCCTGTCCCTGTGCCATCCTGCTCCAGGTTCCTGTGTCACCCTGCTCCAGGCCCCTGTGCCATCCTGTCCCTGTGCCATCCTGCTCCAAGGTCCCTGTGCCATCCTGTTCCAAGGTCCCTGTGCCATCCTGCCCCTGTGCCATCCTGTTCCAAGGTCCCTGTGCCATCCTGCCCTGGATGCAGACTCAGCCCCTGCAGCCCAAGACTTTAATAAAAAGCACATTATGGTGAGTAATGCACTAAGTGGACTTCATTACGGAGCCGGGGCCTCCCTGGCTCCCGTTGTTCCATATGATTTCCTATCAGATGAGCCTTATCTCCTCTCCAAACGCTTCCATTTAAACTCCATTAATCCTTCCAAGCTCCCCTGGGTGAGCGCTCCCCGGCCGGCCCTGCTGTCCTGAGCACTGGGACCACCTTCAACCTCAGGATCCCGGTGGGGGGGGCTCTGCCAGGACCCCCAGCAGCTCCGTGGGATGTGGATCCACCCCGGATCCGGGCCCTTGTCCATGATCCACCGGGACGGCCCCGCAGCTGCCTCCTCCTCCTCCTCCTCCTCCTCGCCGGCATCTATTTACGCTCCTGTAATTGAACCAGTTTGTTCTGCTGAGAGCTCATTTACCCTCTGGCTCTGTCCCTTTGTGCCACGGAGGGGTCACCAGGACTCCGGGATGCCGCCGATTCCCGGGCGGATGGGATTATCCCCGCGGCCGTTTTATCCCGACGCCTCTCCGTGTCACGAGTCACCCGGGAGCAGGTCGCAGTTTTTTCCTGCCATCCTCCACAGCCTCAGGGCTCAGCCAGCCCCGTGCAGGCGGATCCGAGCCGGTGGTTTGATCGGAGGGCGGAACGAACACGGAATTCCGGCCTGGTGTTTCCCCTCGCTCCGGCTCCGCTTCACGCTTCTCAAACCCAGTCTGCTCCAGGCAGGGGAGGATCACAGCCCTGGCATGTGGCAGCCCCTGGATGGATGTCCCCTG